TTCCAAGGAGCAGCTGGTGAGCTTGAACCACCGACCTTGCAATTCAAATGACTTTGTAGTCTGATGCATTATCCCACAGCGCCACACCAGGACTCTTTCTCTATGTATTAAAATTTGGATGCTGAATGAAGATACATACGATTGTTCCACCTCTTGGGTTAAAAAAGTAATGAAAAAAAAGATAAAAAAAAGCAATCAATATACTGGTATGTGCACTGCTAGCAGGCGAGGCAGAGATCTGAGAGGTTCTAAACCTGGAGGAGTCGGGAAGGTGAAGAAGTGACCCCGGCTATGGTAACTCTGTCCAACTCAGAGGATTCAATGAGGAGTCTTCAGTGCCTTTAGTAAAAGGGTGTGGGGGGGGTATGCCTTGGGGACCGCTAGGGTCCCTACTGTATGAGTATTTCAGAAAGAATGAAAACCCACTAATGAAAACCAGAGTTCTAGAACCCTATTACTCTTCAGAGTAAATGTATGTTGAGACGGGACCGTTGCCATCCAAATGCAGAGTTAAAAATCCCTGTCATAGACTCTAGGAGAGATGGTTATTTTAGCCTTTGGGCAATTGCAGAAACAGGACATTTTACTAACTGAATCTATTTCTCTTTAGAATAATTCTTATCATTAGAAAATTCTTTCTTACAATGAAGCAAATATCTGTCATTTGTAAATGTCCTTTCTTTATTCTATTACCCTTTAAATCTAATTCTCTTCTATATTAGAGCTCAATAAAAATTTAGAGGCAGTTATTATATCAATTCCTCATCCACATTCCCTTCCCAGTATGCTTTCTGTTCTTCAGGGCAATTATTCTTGTTCCTCGAATAGTCACTCTTCACAATCCAGTCACTTGCCTCTGGACATGTTCAATTTATTAATGTCTCTCTTAAAATGTGGTTCCCAGAATTAAACCCAACACTCCATCCAGATGTGAATGAGTGGAAGCAGAATCCAGAGCTCCTTGGATTAGCACTAACCGACAGCATTAGCTTTTGGAATACCATGATACATTCCTGACTCAAAATGGAACTCACATGTCCCTGTGAGTGTGTGTGTGTGTGTGTGTGTGGGGGGGGGGTTCTACATGAACCAAGTCTTCCCAAATCCTCTTCTTATCCACCAATACACATGCATAAACATACACAGTATGGAGTTTCTCATTAATACCTACCCAATTTCATCTTTTTATTTTCAGTCCTATGTTCAGACACTTCAAAAAAAAGTGTAGCAATTTGTATATCCTAGTGCCATGTGTAATTAGAATTAAAGAAATGCTCCCTGAACAAATGAAATCTTGAATTTTTCAGCCAACAAATTGGATAGTTGTATATTTCTGTGTCATCTACAAATTTAGTAAGCATGTTTTCTGTCTCTTCAACCTATTCTTCATATGCAGATAGAAGATGCCTCTAAATTATTAGGCAAGTAGCTCTTTTGGGGTGGCCTAAGTAATTCCTCTGTGGAGGGGGCGGGTGATGGTGCTGAGAAAACACCAAGGTACAATTACAAAGCAGTGTACAGAATGTGAGCAGGAACAGATGAAGGGGAAAAGATTAAGTGTCTCAGACTCCTGCCATCAGGATCGAATGTTCCCAGCACTAGAAACATATGGCTTTCCCCCATTTCTAGCCTAGCATCTTCTGCTTTTTAGATCTCTTCCAACACTGTGATTATCAGACTCAGAACTTGGAGGGAAAGCTCTTTCAAGCTTATTTTCAAACAGCTTTTTAAATGATCTTTCTGCCTAAATTTCCTGTAAAGTTTGAGTTAAGAGACACACAACTAACTTTTGACTAAGAGGCATAAAAAGATCTCCCACAAGCTCCCCAAACACCTGAGGTATTATAAGTACATGGCCATCAGAAATGGACTGTATTTAACAGTGTGAATTTGGGAATTTACTGAGATTGAAGTTGTCTTCTGAACTGAACATACTCTTATAATTAAATGTCCCTTTCCCTCAGACTGTAGGAAAATAAGCTCAAAGTTGCTTTTCCTTAAACAGTTTTCTTTTGGGAAAGTACCCTAGTTTCAAATGTCCATCAGGGTGGGAACTCTGGACTGAATTTTAGAAAGATGGCGAACATGTTTCAATCTTACAATCTTGAATATGAAAGCTGTCTGGGAAACATCTGTTGCATAGTGTTTACATTTAAGGAATGAAGACATCTACAAAAGGACATGACCAAAAGAGGAATTTGTTTTGCACCTTTTTACTGAACCTTTTCTAGAGGGAGAGACAGAGAAGGATTCTTAGTGAATTAACTTCTCTAAGATGTGTTTTCCTGAAACTCATGCAAGTGACAAGGAACATCAAAAAGAAACCATGCCAAACACTGATGTTGAACATTCTTCTCCTGACTCTAACAGTCACAACAAACCACACACCAGTGCTGGGACCTAAGCAAGGATGAGAAAAGGAGGCTTAAATATACAAGAAACTCCCAAACTCAGGCGAGTCACGAGCTGCAGACATCTCAGCACCAACCAGCCTTTCCAAGGCAACCCACTTCCAGGTTTCCTGTGAAGATACAAGGAGACCCAACATGGAATAGCCAAACAGGTAGTGCTTTGAGCTTCAGCTATTTAGAAAGTGATCCTGTCATTACTCTTGGGTCAAGGTCTCTTAGAGTAGGACTTGTCACTGGACCCCACACTCCTTGGGATTTTCCATCTCATCTCTTTCAAAGTCTGACTTCAAACTCTCTTTTTGCTCAATTTCCACCTGTCAAGAAAAGTGGGAGAGAACTATTAGAAAGTAGGAAAATACATGTAAAGCAAAAAGCAAACCAAGAGGGAATACCTTACCAGCTTCTTGGAGATTTCTTTTAAGTTTGCTAACGCTGTGAGCTTTATCTGCATTGAAGTTACAGGCCCTAAGTATATCATGGATTTGTCTCTGCACATGCTTGGCTCAGAATTCTTTCCTCTTTAGGACCCACCTGGAAAATTCTCACTCTTTACCTTGCACAGTCCCTCAAAGGTCACCTCTTCTGTGACGCTGCTCTTGACTCAGGAAGTGCTTTTCCCTGTGACTATCCCACTGTACCATGTGCATTAATCTGGCTTCATTATAATGCAGGCTTTTTAAGGGCAGGGACATACCCTGTTTACTACTGTAGGCAAGCTGGACAAAAGTTCAGCAAATGATTCATGGACACATGTTACATGGGTATGGGAGAAAGAGTAGGGGAAAAAAATATATATATACATCTATTACTCCCCGTGGTTCCTATTTTCACTGAGATGAAACCAAGTGTATTATTTGTTGACTGTAAAACTGATGATCTTGTCTGTAAACCTTGACTTAGTTCACAATAAAAAATTTAAAAAAATGTTTATCAAATGAATGAATTCCTTTGGCACTGACTATGTCATTGACATGATCTCTTTTAGAAACCTTCAAATTAAGAAGTATTTAGAGTATTTACAGTTCTGCTTCAATCTTATATATAGTACTGCAGCTGTAATTATGAAGAGTGTTGTAAATTAACTTTGTCTTGAAAGTGACACACCTCAACTAAAGCTTATAACTCAGCCAGGGAATCCTAGAGCTAAGGGAAATAATGAAGGCTGCAGTTCTCAACAGCATCTGGGATACTGCTGATGCTTCATTCAACAACTCTGCCATGACTCATGATGACCCCCATGTGTGTCAGAGTTGATCTGTGTCCCTAGGCTTTCAAAGACTGAACTTTTGGAAGGTTTGATCACATAGCCTTTCATCGGAGGTGCCTGTAGGCAGACTGGAATCCCCAGCCTTCCAGTTAGCAGCACAGCATGTTAACCATTTGCACCACCCTGGAACTCAGGAGGCTTGACTTAGCAACAATTCAAGACATGAACAGTTGATCAGGGTTACATGAAAGAAAGGCAATTTTATTTCTGACCACAAGATGGAGTATTTGCTCTTACTGGTAGTTTTTAAATGTTTTAGATCACACAGTTAAGGAAGCGTTTAGAGGAAAACCAAATCGCTATATAAATGAAATCTAAGTGTGTTATTAGGAATATAAGACTATTAAACCATTCTGAGAAATCCTTCTTCAATAACTTCCTTTTCCCTCTGGGCATTCAGTTTCCTATCAGATTTCTAACTTCTCAGGACATAATCACTTTCTATTTATACCAGAAAACTCCTAAATTTGTTTACATGCTCAACAGTCTTGCTTCCCTGTTACAGAAACTACCTTGTCTTCAGCATTTTGTCCTGTTACAGCCCAGCGAACAGGTCATATATGTCCTAACTTTATTGATACCTACTCAATCCACTCCTGTAGCTGAAATGTAAATTTTGGGTTAATGAGCCCTTTCAGACATTCCCCTCGACTTTGAAGGTTACTGCTCTGCATTACATAACAAGGAATAATAGTAGTATTAACCCTTTTATTCCACTGCTCTGTTTTTGTTCACAAGGACAGAAAGACTTTCTCTTGGACACTAAAACACAGCTATGCATGGCGAACTTCCTCTAAGGCAGGAAGAGAATATCTGGCATCCAGCAGATATTCTGAAGAGGGATAAAATACGGAGGGTGGTGGAGTGGACAAACGGATTTGGAAACACTGGTCAACAACCTTTGGCAGATACCTTGTAGCTGTAGTGTGCGGAATAATTGACCCATTTCCTGATGTCCGTCTTGTCTTCCACAGAGATGGACCTTACTGTGGCTTTGGAGGCAGAGGTTGTGGGCATGCTGAACTCTACATCCACATGACTGGCAAATCTGGAAGGCACTTCCCGATCAGACCCAAGTTCAAGGTGGCAGAAGAAACAGTGTGGGTGACCAGAAGCTATGAAAGAAGAACAAAGAATGAAGAGCTGAGGTTCTTTAGGGAGGAACCAGAAGAGGGTAATCAGAGCAATCACCTCAGTAAGAACCAATCAACCAGCTGCTGTGGACTCACTTCAGACTCCTAGAGATCCTGTGATGGTCAGAGGCGAACTGTGCTCCACAGGGTTTTCAGTAACTGATTTTTCTGAAGTAGGTCACCAGATCTTTCTTCTAAGGTGCCTGTGGGTGGACTCGATCTTCCAACTTTTTGATTAGCAGCCAAACTGTAAAGGGTTGCACCACCTAGGGCCTCCTGAGTAAGAAAGGAGGCCTGCAAGCTGCCTGCAAGCACTGCAGCTGCCAGTCTTTCAGAGCTTCCCATGAGTAGCAGAGGGTTGGCCTTAGTCAGAAGTTAAGCTCTGCGGGCTTTCTACCATTTGATATAACACTATCTGATTACAACAGCCTGGTATCCTAGCAATGAAACCATAGCCTCAGAAACTGGGATAATTTTGTCTGTTCAGGTCAAAGTGATATTTGAACACAACACAAATACTAACCAATAGGGGGGCTGTAGACTATGAGAAAGAAATAAAAGACATTGGCACTTAGCACCTAATAAAACAGCAATGACATTTGTCATTTAAAAGCACAAAGAACAAAACAATTAGCATGTATACTTTATTGCTAGCCCTTATACTTGTCCTGGTGTGGTGCTGTGGGCTAATGCGCTGGACTGCAAAGTCGTTTGAGCCTCATGGTTGGTGGTTCAAGCTCACCAATTGCTCATTGTAAATCCTATACAGGGTTGCTATGGGCTGGAACCAACTCGACGGCACTTCACAACAACATACTTGTCCTGGGAGTCCTGGTGTGACGACGTTGCGGTCTAATGCGATAGACTGCAAGGTCGGTTTGAACCTCTAAGTGAACAGTTGAAGTTTACCAGCTGCTCCTCGGAAACCTATGAGTCGAAACCAACTCAATGGCACCAAACAACATACTTGTCCATGAAGTTATATTTACTAAAAATCTTTCTTTGTATGTATGGCTTTAAATCATTTTCTAGTGTCTTTTCCCTTCTAGCTGTTGAAATAATGACTTGAGAGAACCTTTAAATAAAAAAAAAAAACATCCCCTAAAGTCTTCTTATAACCACAGAATACTTGAGTTTAAGTAGTAAAGACTATGTGACTTATGTTAATGGGGGAATAATTCAGAAAAGCAAGGAGAGAATAGCTACAGAACTTGAAGAATGTAATAAAAGTCACTGGATTGCACGTGCAGAAATTGGTGAATTAGTGTACAATCTGTGTTGTATATTGTCAACAACCAAAAGTAAAACAAATGATACACAAAACAAAAACATCAGTGACAGTCTTCTGGAATAATAGTGATTTCCATAGAATTGAATTTTCTTAATAGCATTTCATATTTAAAAAATTATTTGGAGTATGTTTGTGTGAGTGAATGGTATGTGCAACAAAACCCTCACAAACAGCACCTATGTGTAAGGAAAGCATGTGGTACACTGGGGGGGAACAGCAGACTTGTAATTTCTGTGTCATAGAGTCGGTTCCAACTCATAGCAATCCTGTATAAGGCTTCCAAGGAGTGGATGGTGGGTTTGAACCACCGACCTCATGGTTAGCAGTTCAGTGCTTATCCTACAGTATGACACCAGTACTCTGTGGTCGTGGTGGTGTGTCGTGGAGTAGGTTCTGACTCATAGCAACCCCTGTACAGGGTTTCCAAGACTGTAAATCTTTACAGGAGCAGAAAGCCTCATCTTTCTCCTGAGAAGCAGCTGGTAGTTTTGAACTGCTGACCTTGAGGTTAGCAGCCCAAATTGTAAGCACTACATTACCAGAGCTCCTTATCCTACAGTACTACACCAGGACTCCCAACAGTGGACTGGTAGACACAAAAGCTGGGTTTGACCTCCAGCTCTCCTGCTAAGCAGCAGAGATCTCAAAGCCAAATCTTTTGACCTTCCTAGGTTTCAACTCCTTATCTGGGGAGATGGGGGTGGGCTGGGTAGGAAAGGGTAGGTTGGACAATGATAAGCAGAGTCCTTTGTGGCTTTAAGTTCTATAAACCTGTAACTAAGTCCACTGATAAAACTTTTAGATTTGATTCGCTATTGAGGATTGTCAGGTTTTTGAGGAGAAAGAGAGTTTAGTTTCATGACTATAACAATGGTGGCATCATCATCATTGACCAGATCGAACAGGACACATATACTAGGCTCCCTGTGTAAGGTACTGTGCTAAATGCATTACACAGATTCTCGCATTAAACCTCCATAACATCATTGAATTATAATACGATCTTCATTCCACAGATAAAGAAACACAGGGCTAGGGAGCGAACGTGAACTCCCCAAAGCCACAGCTAGAAAGTGGCCCAGGAATCTGGGTTCCGAGGGTTCTGAACCACTTTTTCTGAATCATAACCTCCTGGACCCCAAGAGTAGGTTTGCAGGTGACAGGAGTGGAGATGGGTTAGTGGTGGTTATGTGCTGTGGAGTTGGTTCTGACTCACAGTGATCTTGTATAGATAGGGTTTCCAAAATGGTCAATCTTCTGGGAGCAGAAAGCCTCATCTTTTTCCTGTGGAGTGACTGGTAGATTTGAACTCCTACTTTGTGGTTAGCAGTTCAATTCGGAGCTCCTAGCGATGGATTAATAAGCAGCAGGAATCCCTACTAGCAACTTGTGTTTGTTGTTAAGTGCCATCAAGTTGGTTCGAACTCATTCTGACCCAGTACAGGGTTTGTGTGGCTGGTGAGTTTGAATCATCAACGTTACGATTCAAATGGACCTTGTGCTCCAGTCCAGTGCTTCTACAGCGCTACACCAGGACAAGCAACTAGCTCTGGATAAACACCATGAAATGGCTGTGATATGGCTTTGACTTAATTACAGAAATGAAACAGCTTCTTAGTTTCCCAAGTTTCCCCCAAATAAACAATTCCAGTTCTCTTTATTGGCTTGGGCAGGATTCTTTAATCTCAGAAAATGAAGACATATACTCCCAGTCTCCAAGGAAAACATTACAGAATGAAGTATTTGTTTTGCTCTGTTTCAAAAATTTAATATATTTCAATAGCTATTTCTAGGAGTGATGTTTTGGGAAATTTAAATAGTTTAAATTTAAACAAAGATTCTATTGGTTTTTAAGAAAGGAAATTAAGTAAGTTACATATAATAGTAAAAATTACATTATATGAAAATGAATCTATTCAATATTTAAAAAATGAATTATTATGTATCACAGATGTTATCATTTACTGACTACTTATTAGAAGCTAGGTACTAAGCGAAACACTTAAAATCATCAATTTTATTTTTAATGAACTAGGTACTAACAGCCCTATTTTATCCATGAATAAAACAAAGAGTCTCTAAAAGGTTTCTAAGAAAACTGCCGGAGGTCACACAGCCATTAAATGGTACAACTAGGAATTAAACTCAGATACGCTTTGACTCTGAACTATGTTCGAAACTCTTCTTTGTAATCGAATGAGATCACTTCAAAGTATGAGGGAGCTTCCAACAGTTCATGGAAAAATCCCATTATTTTTCAATGCCACTTTTCCATAAACCTTTAAAAACTCTTTGTATACAGGAAAAAAGTCTCTCAATTCAATTACAATTTAATCAGTAGTTTTATCTAATTAATTCGAATTGTATCATTGTTGGAATATTGAGAAATCACTGCTTTCTACAGAAGTTATACCCCTTCTTCTCACCGGTGTCCTGGTGTGGTGCTGTGGATTATTGTGCTGGACTGCAAAGTCAGTTGAACCACAAGGTCGGGGGTTCAAGTTCACCAGCCGCTCCTTGGAAACCCTATACAGGGTCACTATGAGTCGGAACTAACTTGACAGCACTAAACAACAACTTCTCATTCCATCAATGTGCAATCACAGCAAACTCCATGAAAGCAGCATGCCCGTCTAGATTTTTATTAGATGTGGAGGACTGGTGAACAGATAGGGGAGTTGGATTTTAAAAGCTGGTATAGTTTAATTCATGAAAATGAACTTATTAATAGGCCCATAAATTATGCTATCTTCTTTGAAGTTGAGAAAATTTAACATTAAAATCCAGATTTCTATTTCCCATGGAAGACATAACATACTGAGATGGCTTTCTCCTCACCTGGTTTCCTGAGGCTTGGAATTGCAGCACAGAAAGCAGGACAGAATGTTTGATTTCTTGGTGGGGGGAGTGGGAGTGGTGGTGGTGAAAGATTTGAAGTTGGCAGGGCGCCCTCTCAGATTTAGAAAAGGTAAGTAGAGCGCATGAAAGGCCCTTGGAGAACACAGAGAGGGGAGCTGTACACGTGCATCCCTGGGTTGAGCCTTGCTGGCAGGAACCATGTTGGATTATAAGATGGCTGCGTGGTGTCTTGGCTGGGGTTAGGACAATCCAACTATGACTAAAGGTTTGGCAAAACTGGCAGTACTGATCTGTTGGCTCATGCTGTCTATCGTCTAAGCTCACTGCACTTGGGGTTGGGTTTGTACAGCCAATCTGGGTAAATGTAGGCATGGAGATATTTAGGCTAACTTCATTCACTGTCAATGGGGTGTGAAGATTATGGTGCAATTTAATTTTTTCATACCAGTATACACTCCATGGAATCTCCTGCTTTCTGGGTGAGTTGAGCCACTCAGAAGATGTGCGCCTTGGCGAGGAGCTATTTGCACCAACTCCACTAGAGCAGGACCTGATAAAAATTTGCATAGTTAACCCAAACAAGCTCTGGGCTGGCTCTCACTAGAAGAGGTGGCTGAATGGATGCATGGGGTCGAGAAAAAAAGTGAGGGGGGTTGGTGAGGAAGGAAAGGAGGCTGGTGACCTGTGCATGCCTGCTGGATGCAGCATGGCCATCTTGAACTTTGTCAGTGACCGTGAAGGCAAGAAGCCAGTAGGTGGCACAGCACACCACTCTCTGAGAGAGAAAACCACTGACTTTCAATTTTAGCTGTGTTGACTGGTTTCCTTGTTT